TTTGATTATTCCAAAGATGGGATATATATATATATATATATATTCCTCCTTCAGTCCTAAATATAAGACCGGAAGAATATGTTCTAATTACATCCAAAACTTTGACTATTATTAGTATGGCTGCTTTTGATTTGCAAATCTCTAGAATATCTTCTTATTCTTGGAAAGCCCAACAAATCATTACAAGGGAAGATTTCATTTAAGGATTGCTATAGCCAATTAATATCAATCAACCCCCAAAACATTCCAAAACATCAGTTAACCCCTTTTGGACCAAAATAAAATTAAAAGTAAAAGTAAAATTACAATAATATCCCTTATTTTTATTTTTTAAAAAAATAAATATTAATTGCTGCTAGAGTTCTGGCTACCGAAGGTAGAAGGTCCAACCATTGGTACTCAGGCGATTCCGTCACTATAGCTCTGGTGGCTGGAGGATATTTTTTAAAAAAAAAAGTGACCAAAAGAAGGTTTAAACTCATGACTTATTGGTACACTAAAAGTGACATGACTACCAAATCAACCAAACCATATATTTTTATATATAAGTGTCCAAGTATAAGTGAACAAATAAAATTTGAGAATTTACAAGTGAAATTCAGCGATTTACAATAAAAATTTAGTGATTTACAAGTAACACATAATGGAATTCATAACCCAAAATGCAAGTGTTTAAATGTGAATGAGTAAGTAAAATTTGAAGATTTACAACAGAAGTTTATAAATTTACAACCCAAATTCAATAATTCACAAGAAACACAAAAGAACTACAATCCAAAATGTAAGTGTTCAAGTGTGAATAAACAAGTGAAATTCAGCTATTTACAACCCAAATTCAACTATTTATAAGAAACATAAACATTACAAAACTAATAAAAGAATTCACAACTTCAAAAACAAGTATTCATGTTTCTTATAAATCGTTGAATTTGGATTGTAAATATCTGAATTTTTTTTTTAAATCACTAAATTTCACTTATTCATTTACACTCAAACATTTATTTTTTATGTTGTGAATTCCCTTTTCTTTCTTATGAATCACCGTGTTTAAGTTGTAAATTCATGAACTTTTGTCACAAATATTCAAATTTTACTTGCTCATTCACACTTAAACACTTGTATTTAGGATTATAAATTCCATTATATTACTTGTAAATCACCAAATTTTTGTTATATATTACTGAATTTCACTTATAAATTGTCAAATTTTACTTGTTCACTTAGACTTGTACATTTGTATTGTTATATATATTTTTCTTTGCATCACATAATTAAATGGTTTGGTTGGCTTGATGGTCATATTATTTTTGGTGTGCTAAAAGGTCATGGGTTTAAACCTTTCTTTGGCCACCTTATTTTAAAAAAAATATCCTCCGGCCACAAGAGCTACACTAAATTACTAATATTACGTCCGTCCTTGTTTTGATATTTAATTTGTTTTTAAATATAACTCCTTAATTAATTTTATCTCTTATATTAATTTTTTTAAGTAGTCCTTGTGATAATTACACATGTAAAAGATTGTATTAAATTATAGTTTTCACTAATACACATAATTAGTAATGGTATTTTAGAAAAAATAACAATTTTTATTATAAAAAATTAATTTAACTATGTTCTTAATATTTCTAAACCGGTCAATTAGGTATTATATTAAATACTAGAGGTAGTATATAAATAAAACATAAGATGTAAATATACAACTATTTTCTAATTTACAATGTCACAATCATAAAAGAAACTGTTAAAATAGATTCAACTATCTCTTATTTTTAATATAAGACACACTTAACTAATTTAAATAAATTTAAAAAATAATTAAATTAATTATTTATCAAAAATATGTTTCTATTTTTCTAAAATAGCCTCTTAAATTATTTGGATTGAAAAGGACAAAATATATTGAAGTTTTAATATTAAGGAATATAAGTAATATATTGCAAATATATATTATAATTAAATAAGTTTTCCTTTCTCTCCATTTCTATATATAATTATTTAATATCTATCTGTTGCACCCTCCTTTTCGTCGTTCAACTTTGGCCTGATATTCTCACCAGAAGCCCTGCACTTCAAATAGTCAACATACAGCAACTTTGGTTCAATACACAAATTAGACTCCCAAATTTGGCTTCACTTTCTTCACCTACTTGCTTCGACCTACCCTTTGTATTTTAATCCTTGCACATCAACACTCCAACCAAATTCTATGCTCTAAATACAGATCAATCCACTATCTCCTTCCTTCTCCCCTGTTTATTTATCTTCTGCAAACGCTGTGCCCAACAAGAAAAGAACCTCTCCTGAAGTAGATTGGAACCCCGAGGATCATAGAGCAGAGGGGTCATAAAAATGGCGAAAAGCAAGGTTTTGATTGTGGGTGGAACTGGGTATATTTGGAGGAGGATTGTGAAGCCTTGTCTGGCTCAGGGCCATGAGACTTATATTGTTCAACGACCTGAGTTAGGCCTTCAAATTGAGAAGCTTCAGATGTTGCTCTCCTTTACGAAGCAAGGTGCTCATCTCGTTCAGGTCTCCTTCTCCGATCACCGGAGCCTCGTTGACGCCGTTAAGCAGGTTGACGTTGTCATCAGCGCCGTCTCCGGCGTTCGTTTCCGGACTCACAGCATTCTGTTGCAGCTCAAGCTTGTCGACGCCATCAAAGAAGCCGGAAATGTTAAGGTATTATTGTTTCTGTTATGAGTCTGTGATCCATCTTCTGTTCCTTCGATTCCTTCTTTCATTAAACCCGTCGTGTTGACTTTTAGTCTTACCTTGACGACCCGTCTATGCATTGAGATCTAAAGCTTAAGCAAATCAACCATGGCGCAAAAACTGAATCTTTTTTGCCAAGTTTTCAAGTATTTGCCGTATAGTCTTCTTGTGTTCTGCAGAACACATTTAGAGAGCAAAATCAGGCAATTTTTTCATGAGAATCCTAAACAATGTTGTTGTCTTTATATGTTTGTTTCTTGTAGCGTTTCTTGCCTTCGGAATTTGGACTGGACCCTGCTCATATGGGACATGCTCTGGAACCAGGAAGAGTGACATTTGATGACAAAATGACAGTGCGAAAAAGCAATAGAGGAAGCTAACATCCCTCACAGTTACATCTCGGCAAACTTGTTGGCCGGATACTTTGCCGGCAGCCTCTCTCAGATGGGCTCCTTTGTCCCTCCAAGAGACAAGGTCCATCTATTTGGTGATGGCAACCTCAAAGGTAACACACATAATTCAATTGCTTTCATTGACCATCAAACTGTCTAGTATTACATTTAAGGTTGTCCCCTCTTGTCCTCTGATTGTTTCCTGCAAAATCCAACTTAGTTCAACGACAGCAACATCTTGTTTGGTTAATACGAGACCATGTATTGTTACAGCCGTGTTTATGGATGATGACGATGTTGCAACATATACCATAAAAGCAATAGACGACCCTCGAACTCTAAACAAAACATTGTATTTAAGGCTACCTGAGAACATTCTTTACCAAGGAGAGCTTATTCGAATTTGGGAGAAACTCATCGGGAAGGAACTAGAAAAGACATATATATCTGCAGAAGACTTCCTCACCACCTTGAGAGGTAAGACAAAAATCTGGTTCTGCGTCCACATTTGTTAAGCAGTTCTTTTCTTTTTGCCCCCTCTCTCTCTCATTGGAATGTGTTTTTCTTATTTGTAGACATGGATTATAAACTCCAAGTTGGAATTGGACACTTCTATCACATTTTCTATGAGGGATGTTTAACAGATTTTGAAATAGGTGAAGAGGGAGAAGAAGCCTCAAAGCTTTATCCTGAGATTAATTACACACGCATGGATGAGTACTTAAGGATTTATGTGTAAAATAAATTGATTTCGCAGAAGTTCAGTGTAATGAAGCATGACTATCAGTTAGAGTTAGGGAGAAAAAAAGGCTTTCTCATATCTTAGTATATCAGTGATCTATAGTAGTTTACGTATAATTACCATTTTCCCCTATTAACTTCTTTATATTAATAATAACCAAAGACCATTTTCATCTGTAGAGATTAGATTTGGGGCTTCAACCTCTTCAACCAGAAGCCTTTTTTTTTTTTTCAATCCTATTTTCTTCTCTTGTTCTCTCCCTTTTAAAATTAGACAGAGCAGAGTTGGAATATGTGAGTTGAGCACTTGGTGCTTCTAAATTCTATTTGATGAATTTATATCCGGAGAAAGGCTCTACAGGGCTCTCTCATATTGAACACAATACAATTTCTTTAGCCAATATAAGTAACACACAAGTGTTTTGAGTATTAGCGGCATAGTTTTGTTTTTCAAAAAAGTGAATAAATCATTACAGGAAAATTATTTGAGTTGAATTTTATGAATTCCTTAAGCTGCTCTGTATCTCTTTTGAACTTGAAGAGGCACACAAATTCATAGTCATAACTCAGTTTCATTCTAGGGCTCTGTAAATCCATCCATAAGCGATGAAGATGGCAAAAAAATAAAAGCAATCCAGCGAGCTCATATATCAGAAAAATAACCAGATAGGACCCCTATGAATGTGACATCATTTGGTACAAGCTGCCCATTCCTCAGCTTCTGGAAGAGGATAAGGGCATCTTGACTCCTGAGCATGCCCGTGAGTAGCCAACCCACATAACCATAGCATTCCAAGTTGCAATCTTTCTTTCAAACACCTTTTGAGCCTTTGTAATTGCTCCACTCTTTGCATAGATGCAAACCAATGCTGTACCAAGAATCACTCCCACTTGAATCCCTTTATTCTTCATAAATTCATGAAGTCTTCCCCCCAAATCAACACAGCCTGCTCGTGCACAACAGACAGAACTGAAGCTAATGTCGCACCATTTGGTTCAAAACCTTGGGCAATCCCAAAGCCTCGTTTGAACAATAGCCTTGAGCATATCCACTGAGTATAATCCATCCCATGGTATTTATAAAGTCCTGCCCGTTGATTTTTAATATACGAAGTTTTTTACAAAATGTAGTAAACATCTATAATTCACTCTAAAAAAAAAATGTCATCATCTATCTTACTTTAATATCAAGTATTTTTGAAACTATTCACATGTAAAAACTACTAACAAAGCATATTAAACAGTGAATTCATGTGATTTATTCTCTGCTATAAATATCAGAGCAGAGTTTTACGACAAAAAAATAATAAAAATACCAAAGAGTCAAACACCTAAATTATAATGAGGATGAAGCATAACATACGAACGCTATTCGATAAGATCGATGAGATTAATAATCACAGACTCTGTTTTAGCTGTAGTACCATCATAAATGTGGAGTGGGTAGATATCTTCATGTTCAAATATAGGCACAGGAGGTAGACGTGGTGGACACACATACCCATACATTACTACTGCCGCAGTTACGGACACAGCTTCAGCCCCTTGTTCGTTTATTTCCATGAATGACTTCTGAAATATGCTGGAAACATATAAATTCTGACGACCTCTAAAACAACTAAACATCCCTCTCCACTTTCCTCCAGCAAACGGCATTGTCACCCCTAATCCCCTCAGCGGCTCAGAAACTTCCATCTCGTAAGAAATATTAAATTCTGGGGTCTTCTGGTGGTCAGATAGATTCTTTAAGATTTCTGCAAGATGTTCTATACGCTCTCGATCAGTACCTTTACATGGGTAACAGCATACCCTGCTGGAACGGTTGTAGTCATATTTACTTTGCTTTTTAAATGGTTGATCAACCATTTTCAAATCCTTAAATGCATTCCCCTTGGCACTCATGGAGGGATCCATCTCTAAGTTCTTGTTCTCTTCTCGAGAACATATCCTTATTATACGGGGCATATATTTCCATGCTCCTTTGAAGTGCATTGCATTTGTAATGACAAACTTGACCGAGTTGCTTAGAAACTCTTCAGGCATAAAGTCTTTAACCAGGCCACTTGTCTCGTTTTCCGCCCAAGAATTAATTTCTCGGGTCGCATGAGGAGGCTGCATAAATATACACAATTTCAAGAGACCGAGAAAATTAGCTAAGTTATATTTTTCTCTTTAACAAATGCGTGTTACAAGAACTACTCCGTGTGTCTGTCTTTATAACCACATCCAACCAGCTCTTATATTTAGAGGAGATAATATGAGAAAAGAAACATACGCTCCAAGAGACACAGTATAAACAAAGGCCGATCATACATTTAACAAGAACATAAACGGCCTGCAATCATCATGCATCAATCAATATGAGTTGATGAGATTATTTTTTTTAGGAGACAAGAAGACAGAGAGGAAGGAGATAGACTAGAGCCTAACAATGCTATGAGTAATATGAAATTTGAATTTGATTTAATTAAAGATATTTAGATTGGGTGGAAAAAAATGACGAAACATTACCTGGTTCTGAAAGTCCACTGGGTTCAGAGCGGCTCTATAATCCGAGTCGAGAATCTGTTTAAAAGAGGGATTCAGAGTGAGGGATTGATCAAGCCATAAGGCATTGACGCAACGGATCCGAGCTCCCTCGCCGAGATCGCCATAGGGCAAGATGACGTCGGGTCGAGCGGCTACAGAATTGAGGCTGTCGACGATATGGGAGTCGATTACGGCGCGAAGCTGACGGCGGGGGGAAACGCTGGAGCCAGCGGCAAGGAGGCTGAGCACCACGTGGAGGGACGGGTATGAAACCACCCTGTTTTCACCTGTTTCTCCGGACAAAAGATGGCGTCCGAAGAACACCGGGTCCGACCTGGGACCTCTCTGATTTTTCAGATCTGCTCTTTTTCCGCCATAGTAAGAAGCCGTTTGGTTTGCCAAAACCGGGCAGAAGGAGAAAGAAAGGACATTCCTGGGACGAAAGTGATTTAGCCGCATGATGGAGAGCAGTTCAAACTTGAACTTTTGCTCCTAGGTATTTTTTTGTTTTAGGTTTCTTCGAGTTTTGCCGTGCATTGAATTTGTAATCCTTTATATCATATAGAAAGTTGAATTACCACTAGAGGTGAAAATAGGTCAAACGGCCTATCAGAGGTCTGTAGCCTGACCTGTTTTAGGCCTAATTAAGCCAGGCCTGTTTAAAAAATATATATAGGCTCAGGCTTTTTTGAAAGTCTATTTCGTCTAATAGGTCAGGCTCAGGCTCTATGAGAAGCCTATAAAGTCTATCAGGCAGCCTGAGCCTATTATGTTTTTTAAATATTATGTGGATTATATAGACCTCTCAGTGAGTGAGAAGGCAACCACTTCACCATTGCATTTTGTTATTACATCTTTTGCATGATGTATAATTTTAAACCCACTTAGATAAATTGACAACAAAATTATTTACTCCAAAAACGTAGCTCTCTTATATTTTCGTTTTCCTCTTTCGGTCTTCATTTGATTTTTTGATTTTCAAGTTTCAAGTTTCAACCGAGTTTTCGACTGCCGTCCACCGCTCTCCACCCTCACCTATCTTAGTTTTCAACTGCGTCTGCCGCTCTCAGCCTCACTTGTCTCAGTTTTCGACTCTCAGCCTCTTAGTCTCCTTCTCTCTGGTCTCCTTCTCCTACCTCAGTCTCAGTTTTTGACTCCCGACTGTCGTCTGCTGGTGCTCATGCTTGTGGGTCGTGCTTGTGCTCCACAGTTTGTGCTCGTGCTCGTCAGCGTCACTCAGTTGCTCAGCATCAGCGTGAAGATCTTGACAAAAGGGTGCAACGGATCTTGACGAAAAGGCACAGCTTCTTTCTGGAGAGTGGAGACGAATCTGAGAAGTGAGATTCTCTACCTCTTCAACCATATCTTTCTGAGACTCCGACTCCTGGAAGTTTTCTACCACCGGCGTGGATAGGAGCGTGGCAATGTGCTGGTCTGTTGAATGGAAGTGGCTCCTATGTCATAGCACCCTGTTCTCCGAGACCCTGATTCCTGAAAGTATTCCACCACTCCAGCTCGAGCAAAGGTCAGTTAGATTCAAACTGCATCTTCTTTGCATTATTCAGTCTGTCTCATGGATTACTTAGAAAATGTTAAGGGGTTAAATTTTTTCTGCCGCATGGATTACTTAGAAAATGTTAAGGGGTTAATTTTTTTGGTATTCAAGAATGAAGAATCTATATATATATGTAATTATAGGATTAATTAGGAAATGACAGGGGGTTAAATTTTTCTCAGTTGGTGCTTTTAGAGTCCACATGATGCTGACTGCTGCTGACACATGATTGTTTTTTTCTTCCAATTTATGTTACTGATATTTTGCATTAAGAATAGAATGTTAATATATGCTTTCTGATTCATTTGTAGTTAGTGTCATCTCCATTTGAGAGTAAAACAATGTCATCTAATTCAGTTCCTTCAAATGCTATTATGCCATTAGCTAGTCAACAAGCACCAACAGATTCTAGTCAACAAACTAATGAAGAAAATGATGGTAATGATTGTATTATTCAAAAAAAGAGGTGAAAAACTTCTACCATTTGAGAAGAGTTTGATCAAATTGAAACCGATAAGGGGGTCAAAGCAAAATGCAAGTATTGCAAACAACTACTTGCTTATTCAGGGAAGGGAGCTAGCACTAGCCATCTTCGGAGACATGTCCAAGCTTGTTTGCAAAGGAAATTGCTAGTTTATTCACAAAACAAGCAACCTTCTATTCCATTTCAACCTTCCAATTTGAATATTAATCCATTTTTGACACCGGGTGCTAGATATTCTAATGAAAAGATGAGGGAAATAATAGCTACTGCAATTATGGTACATGAACATCCTTTAAATATTGTTGAGGATGAAGTTTGGATGTGGGGCTTCCAATATGCAAATTCTGAATTTGAGAAAGTATCTCGCAAGACAGCAAGAAATGATTGTTGTGTCATATATGAGGCAGAGAAGAAACAATTGAAGGCCTTATTGGAAGGTGTGAACAAGATTAGTTTGACTACTGATATGTGGAAATCAGCTCACCAAGTAGCTGAATACATAGTTATCACCGGGCATTTCATTGATCCGGGTTGGAATCTTCAAAAGTGAGTTTTGAGTTTTGTGAAAGTTGCTGCTCCTAGACAAGGGATTGATGTGGCAGATGCTATTTTCAAGTGTTTGAAGGCTTGGGGTATTGAAAACAAAGTGTTTTCTGTGTCAGTTGACAATGCTTCTTACAATAATTCTTGTTTAAGAGCTCTTAAAGACACTTTATCACTTAGTAGTTCATTACCTCTAGGTGGTGATTTGTTCCATGTTAGATGTTGTGCACACATATTGAACTTAATGGTGCAAGATGGCCTTGGAAGAATTAGGGACATTATACATAATGTTCGAGAGAGTGTGAAATATATCAATTATAATGATTCAAGGCTGAAAGCATTTTGTGATAGTGTTGAGCAGAAACGTTTGAAGGAAAGAAAGCTTATTCTTGATTGTCCGACAAGGTGGAATTCAACATATAGGATGCTATCAATTACTTTGAAGTTTAAGGTTGTCTTTCCTGATTATAAGGAAAGAGAGCCACATTACAACTATGCACCATTAGAAGAGGATTGGAATAAGGTTGAGAAGATTTGTAAACTTTTAGAAGTATTCAATCTAGTCACCCATGTCATCTCCGGTAGTGAGTATCCTACTACAAATTTGTACCTTTCTGAAGTTTGGAGAGTGAAACAAGTAATTGACAATGCCACAGAAGATGGTGATTTCTTCATAAGAAAAATGGCAGCTTCAATAAAAGAAAAGTTTGACAAATATTGGAGAGAATGTAATATGTTCATGGCCATTGCGAGTGTTTTGGATCCCAGGTGCAAATTATATGTTGTTAATTATTGCTTTCCTTTGATTTAGAAGCCTAATCATGTGGCTTCTAAGAATATAGATAAAGTGGTGAGTGCTTTGAAATCAATGTATGATGAGTATGTAAGCATGTATAAAGGAGACACAATGGGTAATAATGAAGTTGATAATGCTGGTAACAACTCTTCTGCCAATGCACCTGGTTCTTCTATAGTTACTGGATTTGATCAAATCATGAGCATTGTTCATGAAAAGCAAGCAGTCCTCCCAATGAAATCAGAATTGGAAGCTTATCTTGAGGATGGTGTTTACATTCTTGATGGTAATTCTCTCTTTCAGTGCCTTGGAATGGTGGAAAAATAATAGTAAGAAGTATAAGATTTTATCTAAGATGGCTGCTGACATATTAGCTATTCCAATCTCAATCGTGGCATTAGAGTCTACATTTAGTGCTGGAGGTAGAGTTATCGATGAATATTGTTCCAAATTGAATGAAGAATCAATTGAAGTGCTTATTTGTGGTGGGGATTGGCTTCGCAATAAGTATGGCTTGAGGAAAAAACCAAAGGTATAAATTTTGTATCGTAAAAGTTATATCATTTCTTATTCTTCTTACTTCTTAAATTATGATATGATCTAATATTATATATTTGATTTGTTTTTTTTTCAAGGTGCTCGAACAAGATGAAGAAATTATGCTGAAAATTTGATGATTTGCGACTGGTGGCTATTCTTCTTAAACTTGTTTTGTTGTAATGTTGTTGTATTTGGTATATTCTTGTTGAATGTTGATTAATAACAGTATCTCAACTTGTATTTTAAGTACTTGTGGATTGTGATTTTATTTGAGTTTATTTAGTTGTATGTTCTCTTTTCTTTTTTCCTGTTTGGCAGCTCTGTTTTAGATCACTAGTGGCCTGTTTCGGCCTGTTTAAAGGCAGAGGCCTGTATTCTGTTAAGGCCTATTCTCGGCCTGTTTAAAGGCCTAAGCCTGTGTTTTGTTAGGCCTGTTAGCTTGTTTATAGATTTTTAAAAGATACAGGCCTGTTAACATGTTTCAGGCCAAACCAGGCCTTTATATAGGCCATGCTTAGGCTAAATTAGAAGCCTTTAACAAGCTACAAGCCAGACTCAGGTCTATTTGTTACAAATCAGGCCGAGCCTGTTAAGACAATGGCCTGGCGTGGCCTAGCTGTTTCTTTCCCTAATTACCACAAAATAATTAGTTAAAGATAATACTCTATTTTAATTCATAATTTCAGCTTAATTTTAAGAATTGAATATTCATATGATTTCAAAGCATGCAATATATACAGCTTCATTATTTGGTAGAGTAGTCTTTTTTGAAAATTTAGTCAAGCCAAAATTAGTGCATACTAAACATCAACAAATTTAGTATAGTTATGTTATATATCTAAAGAGGATATGTAGAGGAAGCAATGGCTTTAACTTCTGTATTATATAGTTACTTGAAATTTACATATTTGATTCAATAATTACATAGGATAATTTCATAGTTAATAACTAAATAGGACAAAAGCAATATTGCTACATGATATACAAAAAATTAATGAAGACAAATTGAGTTGAAACTAATATATTTGATTTAATAATTACATAGGCTTATTTCTTAGTCAATAATTACATATGATAAATATTAGCAGCCACTTGATCAATTACTTGTTCTGAAAATCTGCCTTTAAAGCAAATATAAGGAATAAAATCTTTTAGCTTGAGGACCTATTAAGGATTCAAGGTTCAACCTTCATTGTGAACGTTTTGAGAAAACTTTAGTTTCTAACTGCAGAGTTTTTTTGGCTCCTTAATCCTCAGATCCACCCAGATAAACATCGACCAATAAGAAGGGGGGGGGGGAGATAAGTTTTATCATATCAAATGACCATACAGCATCTTGGGAAAGTCATCATATATAGTTTAGTGTTAAAGAGCTTGTTTTAATTGTAAAAATCTGAAATCCAAAACCATTATATTAACTAAGAAATTATAAAATGGGCCATTTCTTATCTACTAAAAAAATGCCCACATTTATTTTTCTATTTAAAATTATTGAATAAGCAACCAATAAATAAAAATAAGAAGGCATGAGAGACAAATTA